TGACCTGTTGAGTGTTTCTCAGTTCTACTCTGGAGAGTTGGTGTCCTATGTGAGAAAGGTAGTGTATGATGTCATTTTTTTCTGCTTCTCTTTCCTCTTACAAAAGCTTCTGCTTTGAAATGTTTTGGTCTAATATTCTCCTCGTGTGTAGTCTCGTAATTTTAACAAATGAGCTCTGTGTGCTGCAAACTGTTTGTCAGTATCAGTGCTGTAGCAGCTGCAGGACTGATGAATTTTTGAAAAACCATCTGTTTGGCAAATGTACTCAAAAAGAAGTGCTTAGTGCATCTGTACCTTGACGTTGTGGTAACTTCTTAGCTATAACTTTATGCTGGAAGATTTTTTCCTTCTGGCTGTACTCGAGATCCTTGATCTAATGGATATACAATAAACAGTCCTTTTTTTTAATCTTCTTGCTTCCAGGTGCTGCAAATTATCCCAGAGAGCATGTTCACTTCGCTGGCCAAAATAATCAAGCTTCAGATCCACGACATTATGGAGGTGCCCACACGGCTGGATAAGGACAAGCTAAAGGACTACGCCCAACTGACGGCTCGCTATGAAGTGAGACAAACTGATGTGTATGAAACTGTCTCCTTCCCCTTGAGTGTTGATCAGAATGTCATTGACGTAAAGAAAGGGGGAAAAAAACATCTTCAGATGTTGTATAAAATAAAATAATAAAAAATAGATAAGAGAGCTCATTTTGTTCTGTTTTGATCTCGCCTCATCAGCTGTATGGGAGTCAGAGGCAATCATGCTAACATTTTTCAATCTGCTCACAGCTTTTGATGTGAAATACAAATTGGAAAAGGAAGCGTGATATGGAAACAGATTGTGCCAGCAGACTTAGTTGAATTGGATTAATTAGAGTGTGAAGTACTGAAGTTACTTTTTAATTTTTTTTCAGTCATATTTGGAATTGCAGTCCAGTGCCTTGAAATGAAAATAAGATCATTTTTTTGTTTTTTAGACTTAAAATCAAACAAAACATTGGCTTTTATATCAATGATTGATATCAATATTATTCATATATATTATATTTTTGCATGCCTAATCATCGTTCTGCTCTGTGTCTTTGCAGGTGGCAAAACTAACTCATGACATATCTATTTTCACTGAGGGCATTTTAATGATGAAGACTACTCTCGTTGGGATCATCAAGGTAAATGCAGTGATTAAGGTTTCTGGACTTTGAGAACAAAGATTTCTGTCTTTCAGAAGATTAATACAATCCTGCTGAGGGATTTGTTGCAGCACAGGTTTGCTTTATTAACACACTGTGATGTTTAAGGTGGATCCTAAGCAGCTTCTGGAGGATGGCATCAGGAAGGAGCTGGTGAAGAGGGTGGCTTATGCACTGCACAAAGGCTTAATATTCAATCCAAAGGCAAAGGTGAGACGCTACACCTGTTGTATGTTATGGATTATTAATCATCAGATAAAGTTTGTGATATATTTGCTCCATGTTGACCAGTTTCCATGTTGTTTCCCAATGATATTGAGGGATTAACAGCAGTGAAATAAAATAATAGAGAAAAAATACTGAACTCTTTCAGCCCAGTGAACTGATGCCCAAGTTAAAGGAGATGGGCGCCACCATGGATGGCTTCTACAGGTCGTTTGAATACATCCAGGACTACGTCAGCATTTATGGCCTTAAAATCTGGCAGGAGGAAGTGTCCCGCATCGTCAACTATAATGTGGAACAGGAGTGCAACAGTTTTCTCAGAACCAAGGTCGAACTTCACACTCTTTCTCCTTTTCCCTGAGTAGTGCACTGAGAGCAGTTTGTCCCTGACTAATAGATTTTCTTATCTATCAGTCAGGGGCGCGTTCTAGTTGTTTGGCTGTTTCTCAGTAATAGCAGTTGGCTGATTGGCTTGTTTCTTGCTTCTCTTCAGATCCAGGACTGGCAGAGCGTGCACCAGTCCACCCACATTCCTATTCCCAAGTTTCCCTCTGTGGATGAGTCTGCTACCTTCATCGGTCGTCTCTGCAGAGAAATCCTCCGAATTACTGATCCCAAGTATGTCTCCTCAGACATAACAGTGGAAGTGAAATAAGAGTTAGCGAAATTAGCAGAATAATTGAGTTTATATCTGAGGATGGAGGAGAAAAAATCTTTGGTTATGCAGGTTATTGATGGTGGAATAAACTGATTCTTTCTATAGGGTGACATGTTACATTGACCAGATGAATACCTGGTATGACCTGAAGAGCCACCAGGAGGTGACTAACAACAGATTGTTCTCTGAGATCCAGAACACCCTTGGTACATTTGGCCTTAATGGACTGGACCGCCTGCTCTGCTTCATGATTGTCAGGGAACTTCAGGTATTTACCCCAATATTTACCTCAGTATCCCCCCACTCCCAAAAAAAAAGATGCCATTCAGGTCAGCAAAGATCAAACCCTGAAATCATGTCAATCTTGGTAGTATCTTTAGTGCATTTAGTATGGCTCCCAGATTGTAGTAATGTGTGTGTTTGTCTCATCAGAACTTCCTGACAATACTTCAGAAGACCATCCTGAAGGACAAAGCTGTGGTGGAGGTCTTCAGAACATTGCAAGGTGCCGTCAGTCCAGTCCAAGGCATTGTGGGTAGGTATTCACTTAGAGAATCTATAACCTGCCTTTTCTTGTACAGATCTAATTATTGTTTTTGTTGCTGTAGCTAATGCCAGCAAAGTCTACAGCAGTGCTGTGGCCAAATCCCAGAAGATCTGGGGTACATATCTGGAAGCCATCATGAAGGTACTGCTCCATGTTCCCACGTTAGTCAATAGAAAAGAAAAGGTTTTTTTGGTCTTTATTGTCACAATTTTCTGATGAAGAGATTAAAATAATTTTGAATGCATGTGTTTATTGAAGGTTGGTCAGATGCAGATTCTCAGACAGCAGATCGCTAATGAGCTTAACTACTCCTGCAAGTTTGACTCCAAACACCTGGCGGCTGCACTGGAAAACCTCAACAAGTCTGTATATTCTTACCATAATGGCACTGAATTGTTTTTATGTTTTCTTTACTCACCCCCCAAGTGCTACTCTGACTTTCATGATGGATGCTCCTGCTAATTGCATCATGTCTGTTTTAGTCTCACACTGTTCTTTTATGCTGACTCTGATTATGTTCTTGCCAGGTCTCTGCTGGCAGACATTGAGGCCCATTACCAGGACCCATCCCTGCCTTATCCTAAAGAGGACAACACTCTTTTGTACGATATCACTGCCTACCTGGAGGCTGCTGGCATTCACAATCCTCTCAACAAGGTTTGAACAGAAGGGGCATCTCTTCTCACATAATCAGTTAGCCTTGTTCTGATTTCACCTGAATCGAAATGAGTTTTTTCAATGACGACCACAAAATGCAAGCTGTTTTTTTGCTTTCTTTGGCTGTACATTAGCAGATGTTCGTGTTCAGACTTTTTTGTTCTACTTATGCTTCACACAGATCTACATCACTACAAAGCGCCTCCCGTACTTCCCCATCATCAACTTCCTCTTTATTATTGCTCAGCTGCCTAAACTTCAGTACAACAAAAACCAAGGTGATTTTTTTCCCATTAGTTCACTGTAACCTGTTTGAAGTTGATAAGAGATCAAGTTATACAGTTTTGAGTACAATGGGTACCCTGCCGCCTCTTCACTTAGTTCAGTTGCAGCAGACTATTATTTTTCAGAAAGCGGCATTAAATCTTATGGATTTGTTTTTCCCCACATTTTTCTGCTAACGCACAGTCCCTGAATGTCTCTGAATGTGGTCTTAATTTGATGTTTTGTGTTATGGCAGGAATGACCTGCAGGAAAGCAACAGACCCGGTCGACTGGCCTCCACTGGTGCTCGGCTTGCTCACCCTGCTCAAGCAGTTCCACTCCAGATACACACAACAGTTCCTGGCTCTCATTGGTCAATTCATCCGCTCAATCATGGAGCAGTGCACAAGGTAGCAAAACAGACTTCACAACTTCAGAAAGATTTCTAAAATAAGATTCGAAATCAAATATTCTGTGTGGTAGGTTTCTTTGGTGATGATTGTGGATCGTGTAACCGGACATAAAATGTATCTGGTTATAGCCTCATGAAATCATATTAAAGCTTCCGTTTGATCCTGTTATAGTCAGAAAATCCCTGACATGCCTTCTGATGTGGTGGGAGCTCTGATGTTCCTTGAAGACTACGTGAAGTACACAAAACTGTCACGTAAGGTAGGTGCAACTTTCCCTATATTATTTGTGTTAGTGTTAGAAAATATTTTAAGAGGTTGTAAATGATAAGAGTTGACAAAGTTGACAGTACCCAGGTGTACTGTAGAGCTGAAATGTTGAAACATCAATATGCTTAGGAGCATTATTATTGGACAGCCAGATTTAATACCCATCAGCTATGGGAAAAAATTTTAAAATACTATTTTTTGCATCTGTACTCTACTATATTTGTGTAACAGTAACATGTGTTTCCTTGTGTTTTCTGTGTTTTTAAGGTGGCGGAAGCTCATGTGCCCAGTTATATTTTTGATGAGTTCAGAACAATACTGTGAAGATATGGATGAAGATTTTCATTTAAAGATTTGGGTTTTTTGCCGAATGTTTTTTCACTGCAGACATTTTGTCTCAATGTAGTGACTGCACAGGTGTTACTAATAATTAACAACTGATTTGTTAGGTTTATGTGCTCCAGCAAGCGTGACCACAGGTATTAATACTATTTTATTATTATTCACTGTGCCTATTCTACAGTGATATGTCAAATGTGGGGCCTTTTGATTTGTTTACTTACATTTCATTCTGCTAACTATCAGTGTCTTGCACTTACAGATTGTAAATTAAAAGAACATTAAAATGCAAATAAATCACTCTTACACCTTTATGTACTAAGATTCTGTGCCATTTATAAATCAAATGGATTAATAAATACGATTCTTTCTATTAAAAAGGCAGTTTTGTTTTCCTTCCGTTTAACATATTTTGTTAAAGCTTTTACCTTGAAAAACCATACCCGGAAGTTAGAAGTTAGCTTCTGTTGTGGCTCCGTTTTAGCGGGTGATTTGTGTGCGTTTGTATAGCATCCACAGTTTCTATAGTTTATTTACGTTTCACTTGTTATTTTTATACTAAAACCATTTTTGAAACAGGTTGTACTTGACGTTCATGTAGGTGTCGGTCATTTTTCCGGCAGAACTAGATACCTGTTAGCAAGCTAGGCTAACGTTAACGTTAAAAGCACGTTAAATTTAGCTCCGGTTTGTAGTCCCAAAGTAATAAAGGTAGCTTTCACAATGTCTCTGAGCGCTGTTCACGGAACTCTGTCGAGTCTGAAATCCTGTCAGGCTGATATCGGGACAGGTATGGACATTGTGACAGACGTGGCTATGGACCTGGCGGAAGCTCAGGGTAAATATTAAAGGTTTTCTCATCGTACTGCTCACCACCTCCATCTGTAATCTCTACATTAATTATTCGCTTACCAGATATATTTTGACGTCTATAATTCATGTTTTATGTGCTTTAGATTTGTTTTTAAGATTTATAACTAATTTTGGAGCGTACATTTACAGTACTATGCAAAAGCTTCCCATCATTTCTTTATAAATTGGCTAAAAAGGAGCCAGACCTTCCTATAATGTTTTCAAAATAGTCTTGTGCAGCAGTTCTTTGGGCTCTCTGGAAATGTTGCAAGGATTTTCCTTGGACATTGACTGCTTTTTTATTGACCATTTTTTTAGGAATGTTTTTCATTCTTTGTTAAGCCATTGAATACTGGCCGATGAATCATTTTAATATTAAAAAAAAAAAGGCACCTACCTCAAGGAACCCAGTGTCATGTCGACGTATATTAAATAACTTAGCAAAGACCTGATTTTAAGTTGCATAATTAGGCACTTTGTGTTTTTGTGACAGGCTGCTAGTAACAATTTTTTTTTAGTTGAATCTATGATGAATGACAAAGATAACACAATTGGACAGACATTACATAGGATTTTTGCACAAACAAGGTGATTCCCAAAGATCTGATAGTTGTTTGTGTGCGTGTGTGTGACTGCTTAAGTGATTACTTCTTTGGTGTGCACTTTTGTTAAAGATGACGAGATGAACCCGGGCATCAAACAGATGGAGGCCATGATTCTGGAGTGTGCCAAGCTGGACAGGGAGATTAACTACTTTGTTGATGTGGTGCAACAAGTTACAGCTGAGGTGAGAGCAGCCTGAAGGTTTCCTTGCATTAGGTGACTGAGATAATGGATATTACAACAGTGTGCTTAAACCCTGTTCATTGTAGGGAAAGTTTTGATGCACCATTTGACTGTTCTGCTGCATAGTGTAGAACCATCAGTTGATGCCTAGTTGACTCAAGAGGAACATGTTGTTGAAATGCTTGTTGTCTTTAAATAATCAGTGCATTGTTAATGCTGCTTTTTCTGCGTAAAGTCAGAGCTGCACATTAGAGCTCTTAAATGTCACACAGTTATAAACATTATGACTCATAATGAAGTCAACATAAAAGTCAGTTTAGCAACATTTTTTCAGCATTTGAATATTTTCAGTGATAATGGGGAATAGAGCAGAAAGTGTCCCATGGGATCACAACACACGCAGATTATTCAGCTGCATCAGATTCTACCATTACTAACATACAGCTCAGCAGGTTAGATCACATCGTCAGGAATGGCTGAACATAATCTTGTGCAGAGTGCAGCATACGTCACCATGGTGACGTTGCCGATGACGTGGAAAACTCTTAACATTATGTTCAGAAGAAGACGCAAACCTCGGGCATTTGTGAAGCATTTCTGAATTAAATACAAAATGTAGATTATTGCAAATTATATAACACATTTCAATCATTGTAGGTAACCACGCAACAGCCGGAGGCCATGTTCAGCCTGTCTGCCAAAGTGAAGGAGCAGTTCACAGAGAGAATAGCCCAACTCTCTGACGCTGACCTGCACACTCACCAGAAAGTAATGGCTTTCAAGGAAAGTGTCAAAAACTCTTTCAAACAAGGTAAGGCCTGTGGAGAGACGGAGGAGATTTACTTGAATTGGACTCGCCGCAGTGCATTCAGGACTTCTAATGGACGTTGATAATAGCAGTGTTATCTGAGAACTTCTTGCTGAGCAGAGAGATCTTGGGATGTGCCTTTCTTTTTTAGGATAATTAGCTTTATTTTAAAACACGCAGCTTCCTTTGTTTACTGTTGAATGATTGTTTCGCTGTCACCCTGTGGCTGTTATTTTCTGCTTTTTAACTCTTACTAATTACAGCTATGCCGGCCTCATATAGTGCCATGCTTTTGTGAGTCTCTGTAGACATTATAGGCTATATTATGCTAAGTATGTTATTTTCACGAGCTGACTTGAAATGAAAATGTCTGAAAAAAGAGCCAAATGTGATAACCCACTTTGAAGCATGAACTTTGCGAGCCGCAAATCATTGGCGATCATTGCAGTGTGTTCTGTGAGGGCTTAGCCCATTAGTATTCACTGAATTAGTATTACTTCATGTTCCTGTTAAGGGAAACAATTTGAGGATTCAATTCTGCTTGCTTAAAGGCTGAAATATAAATATGTTGAATAGCATAATCCTATGGAGGAGTTTACAAAGGCCACATATAGAGGGCAGTTTTTAATACTTTGGGCTCAAGTTAGCCTTTGAGTTCTTCAGTAGTTGTAGATGTGCCAGGACAACAACTGTAGATATGAAATTTATGCGCAGACTAAAAAAAGTTTTGTGTGTGCATGTGTGTACGCAGTAAATGTTGGTGGATGGTGGTATGTGCCATCAAGTTGAGTCATTTTTACTCTGAGTGGACAAATGGAAGCAAACCGCATGTGCATTGTGTTTGTTTTTAGCTAACCAGGAGTCAGCAGAGAGCATGGAGGAGCTCGATGAGGACATCGCTGTGACACAGAGTCAAGTCAACTTTACCTGCCCGCTCACACAGGTAGATTGACTGATTAGATTTGTAGATTACAGGTAGATTAATCCAGTGTGTTTTCATGCCTCTGTCTTTGCCTCGGAGGTGTTATGTTTTCATTGTGCCCATCTATGTGTCGGGGTATTCCTTCAGTTTAGGCACAGACATTCATTTGGACTAAAGGTTGAGCTCATTAGAGTTTGCATGGTCACAATCCAAAAAATTTGGGGGCTAATTATGACAGAATTTCACATCAGTCCCAGGATTATTACAATATTGGTGTCTTTCATTTGGCTCAGGCTAAAACATGTTAGGTGGGTGCCAAAATGTGTCTACGCAGAAAAAACCAAAACCAAAATCTTGACTGTAAGATGATGTTCCTGCAAAATGCATCATTCTGATCTTGCTTGCTTGCTTGTTCAAACTGCTTTTTCAACAAAACACAGGTAACTTGAAACTTATTCTTTTGTGCCTCTGTTCAAGGTGGAAATGGTGAACCCGGTAAAGAACAAGAAGTGTAACCACCACTATGATGAAGCAGCAATCCTAAACCTGATCAAAACAAGAGACAGCCAGAAGAAGAAATGCTGGTAAGACACTGCATCTCTGAGGACCGTTAGAAAGTGGAGTCAGGTTTTCTAGCAGTAAATAACACTGCAGGCTGGTGTGGGACCAGCAGGCTGCCTTAATTTACATTGCCTTTATTATGCTGCTTTGATGTTGGAGTCAAATTAAATGTGGCTGATCCTGCAGGAACACTGATAAAATCCCAGCAGCAGTGTTGCTGAAAAATAAACTTGCCTATTGTCTTGGGTCCTGACTGTGGTCACTGCACTCAATTACTGCAGCAGTATGTTTTCCTTGTTGAGATTAGGTTTATGCTTGAAGAAATGGTGTTGTACCTGCAGTAAATGGCATTTCATCACACATCCCTTTCCCAATGCTTTAGCAGCCTCGAAGTTCCCACCGTTCAAGTCATCCAGTTTATTACAGCATGTGTAACGTCAGGGGACTCCTCAGTGTAGAATGCAGACATTATAATAAGAACACAAAAGATGGAAGTCTGGCTGCTAATAGGCAATCAGAATCAAACTGCGAGCACTGGCACAGGAAATAATAAAGCAAGTTTAAGCAGATGTGTAACAACTTAAGTTACTCAGCGATGAACGGGGCAAAGCTAATATGAAACTGATGCACAGAAAGCTTTTTTTGAGCTGTTCTGCAACTGTTTGTGTGTGTTTAAATGTCTGAAGCAAGTTAAGGTTCTCGGTGTGTCTCTGCTCCCTAGCTGTCCCGTGGTGGGCTGTGGAAATACAGATGTAAAAGATTCTGACCTCATTCCTGACCAGATGCTGAGGAGAAGGATCCAGAGCTACAAGAGGCAGAAAAAACGGACTTAATAATGAACATTTCTATGGAAATAATCAATAGTTAAAGAAATACATTTTCCTGTAACAATTTTGTACACTGAGAATCTAGAATGTTTATATTGCCATCTACGCTTTTATATATGACATTCTTTTTAAACTCAGATTTGTACCTTGCAATTTTTGAGGCTCCGTTGAATCTGGATGACATGTTATAGTATTTCATCTGGAGTGTAAATAAATAGTAAGATAATTACATGTTTAGTATTTTCACAGTCTGTGGTGGCTAGTTCAAGAGTCTATCTGATGCAGTAAATCTACTGAACCACGTGAGGGCAGTGTTTGCTTAAAGTCAGTGCAGAAAGGTGCTTCAGGGTTTTGAGAATCTCCTAATTTCTCAGCTTCACTTACATCTAGGGTTACTGGCCAACATGGCAACTGTAGATCCAAGAAAGGATGATCTTTTACTTAAAATAAAATCCTTCAAAAAATGGGCTCAGTGAATGAGCCATAAACAAACAGTTCTTTTACATCTGTGGGAGTGCACTTATGTGATTAAGCCTGCTCTCGCTCCTTGTGAAGGGTCTTTGTTTCAAAAGAAGAAACAAACAAAGGCTGCGTTGAGATGAAACTAGGTGAAGCTAATCTTTTAATAGCCTTGCATCAGGAATAAAAAAAAATATATCTGTAATTGCCCTCTCTCTACAGTGAGTGCGTCAAACAGCACTAAGATCATTTCACCAGTGAAGCTATTAAATGGCATTAAATGACTGGCTAGTGTTGACTCATTCATTTCTCCACTCTACTTCATTTTGAATTGCCATTCTGCAAATCTAATCTTGTTTACTACACAACACGTGAAGTCACTGGTAACCCCCCCACACACACACAGAACACTTACTTTGAGCAAAGTGCACAGATGAACACACTTCAGCGTTCACCACATCACAGGAAAGAACCATCGAGCCGTTTCCTTTGTGAGGATGTAGAAGCGTAAATATCCTCGGGAATCACAATAACCGTATGGACACACAGTGCTGAGAAAAACGAACAATTTCTCACAGATGCTTTCTTATTTCTGGTTCTTGTTTGATCTGGAATTCACATTCATCTCTGGCCTCAAAAAGCTCCAGGAAGTAGGTGTAATGGATGGCTGAAACACTGTAAGCCTGGATATAAGGCCTGTCCAAGCAGGATTTTTACCTTTTGGCAGGAAGTGAACATATTATCACTTCTTGGCGCATGAGTCTTGGCCCGAGCAGCGCTTGAGCTGATTGGAAAGACGGGCCAGAGAACAACGGGCCTCCAATGAGACTCGCATTTTAAAATTCTCCTCTGACACAAGTTTCTTGTTTTCCTTGCCAAGTCCAGGAGTGGCCTGGTTCTGTTGACACACAGGCTTGGCAATAAAACAACATTCTCTAAGGTTACCCACATGACCCACCCACCACCTTCTCTAAAGTGAAACAATTTCTGTACAGCATTAGGCTGCTGAAGACTACTGAGAGCAGAAGAAAAACCTAAACAATTGTGTGGCTCCCGTGTTTATGTAAATCCTCCCTGAATGGTGCTCCTTTATTAGGATTCCTGTGCTGTTACTTGGAAACTTGATCTCAATGAAGTGCATTTCACTTTTTCCACATCCAAGCCTCACTGAGCTCAAAAACAGATTGGCAGGTGAGATGTCAAAGTCCAGTGTTTTATTTTTGTCCTCTGAGTAAACACACAACTCTCTCTCCGCCCCTCATCCAATTCTATAAAATTCATTTGGATGTGACTGCATAATGTTAGCTTTTGCTTTTCTACAATGACACAGCCTGAATTTAAATAGAAACCTGTTAATAAAATATGAATGCGTCACCTTGGTTTTGCAGCATGTCTGAGTTAAACAAGTCAAAGTTGTCTGTAGGGATGAAAAACTGTCAGTTCCCATGAAGTTCCCACTAAATGGGAATTTTTGATGTCACTTTTGTGTTATTTCCTGTTTTGTTGTTTGTTGTGATTTAAAACTCCATTACGAAAAATCTAGCGCCATAACTTTTTCTTACCCTCAAATATAATAATATATAATTCCATTTTAAGGACCTGCTAGTGGACATACACTTAAGGCTTATTGCGTAATCCCCTCTCGTCTTTCATATTGTGAACATAGTTATGGCCTTTTTTATCGACATTTATCAAATTTCAGAGCTTTTGGGATCCCGGCGTCAGTTTAAAATATTAACGTCTCCATTTCTAATGTTCTTCTGATTTTGACTGAAGACTGAACACGCAATGAGGCATAAAAGGCGTACTGTCGCTTTAAATGACAACACCTCCCAGCAGTCGCTGGATCCTGGGCGAGTTTCGCTGCAAAGAAGAAGAAAAAAAAGAGAAAAGAAACAGCCCACAGTGGTTCATGCTTCAGTCTATACAGCAGAGCAAAGCACAGCGCAACAGCTTACCATACAGGAAGGAGAGCAGGTGCCAGCGCACTCTAAACTACTCCTTATTTTACTGATGAGACAACAGGAGCGAGTGAGACAGCAGCTGCTGACTGAAGCTGACCTGCAGGTGAGTGTCTGCTGCCCCGCGAGCTTACATTCAAAAATAAAGAAGAAAATCAGTAAGTGTAGAGTAGCTACAACTGAGACAGGCTGACGCGACAGGAGCAATGTAGGTGATAGGATACAACACTGAGGTGACAGGAAAAGTAAAAACTGCAGCAATAAGAATAGTTGTGTTGGGATTGTTACGTGGAAACTGTGAGCCAACAGGTGAGTCACACCTGTTAGGACTAAGCGTCACAGTTTGACTTGAAGAAATGCCTTTAATATCTAAATTCAACCCCTTTTTAAACACATCCGTCTTGTGTGTTTCCACATAGATCGACGCAGTTGGTGTTCAATTGGAGAAAATCTGCTGGACATGGATTATTGGTGCCCTTCTTCGCCGCTTTGGATTTAGTTAGTCCCTGCAACCTTTGTTTTTTACGTGTAGTTCCCGGGGACGCCAAGAACAGGTGGATCCTGTTTCTGTGTCAGGCTCAAACCGGCTACCACTGACCGTTCACCTTTATGGGGAATCAGGTGGAGAAACTAACGCATCTAAATTACGCGGAGGTGCCAACGTCGGACCCAAATGGGTTCGACCCGGAAGACGACGGACCGCGGATTGGCGTGTCTTATATTTTTTCCAACGACGACGACGACGACCAGGACGACAATTTTGATCACTTTCCAGCGGACAAACACCAGGTAAACCATGAAGAGAAGCCCTTTGACCCCCGGGACGAGCTGGAGTGCGCGATCTATTATCGAGAAGAGTGCGTCTTCGAAAGAAAAACCGGAGCCGCGACTCACTCCGCGGAAAGTCTTCTGAACAAGTGCAGACCGGGAGACCTGCTGGAGTTCGTGGCCACTGGACAGTATCCACACTGGGCTGTTTACGTCGGGGACTTTCAGGTGGTTCATTTGCACCGGGCTGAAATCAAGAACAACTTTCTCACCGATGTGAGCCAGGGCAAACAAGGCCGGATAGTGAACAGCCTCTACAGGTACCGCGCGCTCCCGCCAGAGGTGATTGTGCGCAACGCGCTGGACCACGTTGGGTCAAGAGACAGGGAGCTGTACTGGAGAAATTCTGAGTGTTTTGCAGCCTGGTGTCGCTTTGGCAAACGGGAATTTAAAATCGGAGGGGAGATCAGGATTGGGAAGCAGCCGTACAGGTTAAAACTGCTGTTTTCTGAGAAGAAAAGTCACGTCCTGGAATTTCAAAGCCTGGAAGACGTGATTATGGAAAAGAGGAGGAACGATCAGATTGGTAAAGGTGCCGTGATGCAAGAGCTGGCTAACCATTTGAATACAACACATGAACTCAAAGAGGAGAATTTTGTTAACTGACACTGGATGCTCTGGTCATCTGGAGAGGATTTGAGGTTCCACGGTGATGTTCCATGCTCCATTTAAGCGCTTAACCCATGAGGTCACGTAAACGTGTCCACTGTGCCAACAAATGTGCATATTCAGAGGGAGTTTATGGTGCATCATGAAAATATTTTTCACCCAGAGGAATTTGTGACTTCCAACTAAAATGCTTTAACAATGATCAGCGGGGTTAAAGCGACATTTCCATACCCTAATTTGCATTGAAAACAAATAAAAATGAACACACCCCAGTGGCAGATATCCCTCCCTCCTTTTATAAGAAAATGAGATTTCACTCTCTACCCCAGGTTAAGCAACCTGTTATGGCGGATACAATTTGCATTGGAGCTTCACCTGCAGTCTAATCAGTCGGGAATGAAGTTAGAATTTAACTGCCCTTAATTATTTTTCTAATCCAGCAATGCTTTGCAGAGAGGAGCAAAAAACTGTCCCTTTAGTCCTGACTGACAAGAGTGCTCAAGCTGCTTGCTCCTGCACAACTCAGGTGTTGGAGACCAACCCACAGAGTGGAAGAGAGAGACGGTTACTCAACGTTATGGTGTTTCAAGCTGGTGGATTGCCTTCTGTTGCTTTATATCCAATCATCACACAGCTTTACCTTCTCTTGGACTACTTTGTGGACACTGTTGACAGCTATGGGCACTTTTATTAATTCACCTGTTACAACAGTTTATTTTTTGAAGCAGAAAGATGTTTGTATGAAGGATTATGGAAATAAATATATATATTTGAAGAGTAAAGGGTTTTCTTTTTAGCAAATGGTTGGCCTTTAAATGTTTTCTGAGAGCGTTGGTACAGTGCTAATCGATCGTTTCAAACCACCAGCCTCAAGAGAGGCCGCTCTATATCCTGCATCCTGAACACCGGCCTTGTTTTTTGCACATTGCTTGGCAATTGGAGAGCAGCTACACCCCAAACAATTCAATCCCAGCTCGCAGTTGGAAGAGCCACAGTCATACCTGTTCATCTGCTGCTTTTTGGTTTGTGGTTGCATGCAGGAAAGTGCAGGCTACCCACACAGTTAAAGCTGCCAGTTTTGATCTAAATATTTTCCTCCGAGCAGCAGCTCCCTGAAACTACTTAAACATCTTCTTTGTTAGGCTGTGTCAAGATGAGTTCCAACTGCGCTGGACATTTTTGCTTTGTTTACACCTCTGCTTACTGAAGATAAGACTTTTTTTTTTTCTTGAAATTTACCCAAAGGCTAAAAATGTTTCACATCCATATTTTTCTCTCCTTCCCTCTCCTTGAGCTACATCATTTATTAAACTTGGGGTAAAGGTGCAGTTAAATAAGGGTACAGTTTTATTTCTATTGGGAAACAGTATTACAACAATGACTGAAACACTTTGCAGTGTGTTCACATACAGAGGCTGCAACGGAAATTACAACAGGCTGTGAGGTTGTTTGAAATGCCAGACATCTTGTTTTTTCCCTCCCCCCTGTCTGTGCTTCAGAGGAAACCAGTGATCACGGGTAGTCAGTAGATGAGTTACTTTTTCCTCTGGTGATATTTGCGTGACGATACTGCTGTAGTCATTTTCGTGCAGGTAAAGGTCCCACTGGACTCAAAGCTGGATAATCATCAGCACCCGTACTGAATGGGAAAGCTGCCGAACACATTAGCATTTCCTCAGTTCTCTGTGGTCTGCCACGGTGATAAAATACGAATCGTGTATGTTTATGTGGTGCATATTTATGATAATCAGTCATATTTTTTCTTTTAGCACCTACAAACACACACAGTATTAAAGCAGCCGCCAGTGGAGTTGTGTAATTGGGATTATTAACTCACATTTTTCATCATATGTGACAAAGCTAAAATTGAATTACACGTACTTCAT